AACAAAATTTATATTGGTGACTATCTAATTCTTATAGAGAAACTACATTCATGTAACTAAATAATTACTTTAGATTGGTTTACACAGTCAATGGACGTTCTTAATAATCACTAGTCACAGAGCAATCAAAACCATTTGAAAGGCAAATGAAATGAGAGAATAACCAAAAGAACCTGTTTTCTAAATGTTTCAGTCAATTCAATCAGGTTAATCATCTAGTTGATATATCGTGTGATTTATAAGACATAGAAACAATGACACTCACCAATTGTTCCCAAAATACGGCTTTACGTGTCCAGTTTAGAGGTGTGCAGTACGTGTGTCTACTCCTAACAACAGTCTGTGGGAAAGTGACCTGTTGGTCTTGGGTGCAGGCCCTGGCTAGCTGTGGAATTGCCCCGAGGCATGCAGCCACCAGACCTCACTGCTTCCCATCACTCACTGATTAGGACAAGATTACACCAGTCCACCCAAGGTGGCTGGTTACACATAGCTGCCTTTTTTCTGTCCGCTACCTCTCTTTTATCATTGACAGAAGGTTCACAAAGGCCACAAAGGTGCATCTCGTATTAAAACAACAACTTTTCTTCTATAGAACTTTACATTCATGTATATCCATTTAACCTTGGGGTTCCCACGGGGATGCGAGATGGATCCCGCCGGGATGCGGGATGGATCCCGCCAGGATGCGGGATGGATCCCGCCGGGATGCGGGATAGATCCCACAAGGATGCGGGATGGGCAATTTGCATGGGATAGCCGGTATCCCAGTTGGATTCCAGTCACATCCCACTGACATCCTAGTTTGATGTCACTGACATCCCACTGGGATCCCAGTTTGATGCAACCGACATCCCACTGGGATCCCAGTTTTGTTCAACTGACATCCCAATGGTGTTCCATATGTGCTGTCTGGTCGCATTGCATTTTTCAACTCACGTCACATTTTTCAACTAGTATTGGTGTCGCAGTTGTAGACCTTTGTCGCATTTTTTGGTTTGGTGTCGCATTTTTCAACCAGTGTCACATTTTCAACCGGTGTTGCATTTTTCAACCAGTGTTGGTGTTGCATTTTTCAACAGGTATCTCATTTTTCAACCTGCGTTGCATTTTTGGTTTGGTGTTGCATTCAGCAACTGGTGTCGCATTTTTCAACCAGTGTTGAAATAAAAGGTGCTGTCCAAAAATTACCAGCACAACACTGCAGGAAGATTTCGAAAGAGTACACCATGTCCTCCTCAGAAAGGTGGTTGTTTGATCTAAATATATACACACAACAGCTTTGAAATGTTTGGTCCTAATCACGTTTGTGTGGGCACAAACTAGTTTGAAGAGGCATGTAGGGACTTCCTCTTCTTTGCCGGTGAGGATGGTCTTCGATCTGCTCATGGGTGCATGTAGATCTCATGTCAACATTTGCAGGCCTCTCGTAGTCTTGGAGCAATAAATTGCAATTCTGATTGTACGTGCTGTACACAGATTTAGACAAGTGTACTTTATGTAACTTGTTTAGCTTTCTTTTCTCTTAATTTCACTTGATATATTTTTAATTGTATTCTTTGCTTTCTATTTTCTAGATGCATAACTTGCAAATTGATTGACATGTGTTTCACTTTGATCAGTTGACGCTCCATGTTGGTGTTTAATAGTTTAATTTAATGGCATTAGTAAAATTGGGAATTACATTTGTTGAATTTTTTACTCACACAATGAGAGAAATATTTTCACTATTGCATTTATTAAGGTTAAATTTTAGCTTCATCTCAGAGAATAGAATGTCAATAATATCATATAAAAGATGCATTTTGTTCACAACATTTAATCCTTCCACTTATGATTAAAGGCACTTTCATAATTGAACTTATGCCAACTCTTTCAAACTGCCAACTCTAGAAAAGTTATAACAAAGAGCTATTTTTTAATCAAAATTATTTATGCAACACATTACCACTTTCCTTGAATTCATTTTTTTTGTTTTATTGTGATCCATAGAGAAAATAAGCATTAATATAATTGGTGCTTCATATTAGAATATGATGTCCAACACTAGTCTAACACAGCCTGTTTCATTATACATGTATACAGGATCCTACTAAGGTATGCTGATTGGCGCCCCATACCAGTCTCAACACAGCCTGTTTCATTATACATGTATACAGGATCCTACTACTCCCCATACCAGTCTCAACACAGCCTGTGTCATTATACATGTATACAGGATCCTACTAGATACGCCGATTGGTGCCCCATACTTGTACCAGTCTCAACACAGCCTGTTTCATTATACATGTATACAAGATCCTACTAGGGTAAGTAGCGCCCCATACCAATCTCAACACAGCCTGTTTCAGTGTATATGTGTAGCCAACTACAGCTACAGAACTTGACAATAATGAATGATTGGTGCAAGAGGAATGTAATTTGGTCCCGTAGTACAATGACACTCTCTTTATTCAGACTAATGAAGATTTTAGCATAGAGCAAGGAACGATTGGAGGTACTACAGTAGCTGACTAGGAATTTGGATGTATTAAAGACAGGAGATTATTTAGGTTAAAGTCGGAAGTCAGAAGTCGGAAGTCGGAAGGTTTTGCTGTAACAAATGAACAAAAACTCAAGCTAAAAATATGCATGTATATATAAGTAATGACACAAAAGTAAACTGAAACAATAAGCTGTCTGAGCAATAAAACAATATCAAAACAATTAAATGTTGCCTAAGAAATCTATAAAATGTACTTACTACGCTGGGGTGTTGCCTCACTAAAATGATCGATTCAAGACTTGGAAACTTGGAGGAATGATGCATGAAAGAAAAGGAGGGACCTTACTCCATGGATGTGGGCAACAATATGATGGTCAATCTGGAAGGGAACTGTGGCCAAAGCACAGTCAGGGTCCTTGCAGGGGGGAGATTTATAGCCTAAGGGAACATGTGGTCTGGAGAGGGAGAGAGTCACTATGGGAACAGCCACCCAGGCCTGGCAGAAATGTATGCAGAATTCAGGGATCGAGAGATAAGGACCATGGATGGTCAAGAAAAGTTGGGTAACTAGGTCTAGACTAGGTCTCTACAGTGGAATAAAATGAGCATACATGAATTTCTTAAAATATAACGAAAACGTGTACATGTATACTTAATACATGTAATCAAAATTAATGGTTGAACTTAAATCAAAACACAACGTCTGCTACAGGTAGGATGGGCTCCAGTGATGGCATTGATGAAGTTGTGGATGGGACCGGGGTTGGTGGGGCACTCCAACGCTGGAACATTGCTCTGGGCTTGCCCGACAATGGTGGTTTAGGCCCAAAAGTCTCAGCTGTCTGTACCTACATGTAGGTCTCCTGGTCAGCTTGGACAGGTGCCAGCTGAACTACCAGTGAACTCCCTGCCACTGGCGATCCCTGCCTTACAAGTGGAGAAATGGGACAGGGGGACAACGACAGAGCGTCAGGATCTGCTTCTCCTCCCTCCTGGCCTTCAAGAGGTTGTCTTGGTGCCTGGGTTCCGGGCAGACCAACCCCACTCCATCCAGCACTATCTAGAGCCTGAGTCTTGGCCTCAGGCCTTTCCAGCCTTTCTACTTCGGGGCTGATGGTGGCCACCTCTTGAATGCACTCTGGGTGGAAGCCACCATAATGCCGCCTCCTGTTGTCCACCTGAGTTGCTTTGTAACGGCATTTGCGGCAGTACATATACTTTACCGTTCCATGTGCTTCTCAGATGTGCCACCACAAACCTTGTCGCTGGTAGTACCAGTTCTGACACTACGTACACTTGAACTTCCTGGGCTTGCGCCGCCTATGGAATATACTCTTCATCATCGTCTCTTATCTGATGATGAAAACAGACAAAAATATTTTGTGGTTAGCGCTACTTATCAATCGTTACACCTATGGCCTAAGAAGATGCTTATAAAACTGATGAATGGAAGGGTACTAATAAAACGCATTTCAAAATATTTTCCCTCCTTTGTGAATGCTATCTGGCTCCTATTGCATGGCACATGAGTGGCACTCAAAAACACTTCTGCCTGAGCTCTGCTCATGTCCATCCCAACACACGCATGATGGTACCACCTTTCACAGGATGAGCATTCAATCCACTCTGCCACCTATGTTATGAACCAAAATTAATTTCATTAATTTCCAAAGTAACTCAAACATTATGCATGAATATTGTATTTCAATAAGCGTAAATCTTTAGACGTGCCACAAAAGCTGTTCAAACATCCCTCAGTAAATTTCTCCTTTTTTATTAGAGGACTTGTGGACAAATGTTTTGAGGGGAATTTTTTGTTTCGATGTGACAGATTTGACAGAGGACAAAATACAGTATAGGGCAGCCAGTAACTGTAATCCTCATGTCATTTTAAAAGTGAGAAATGAGATGTTTATGTTGTTATGAATTAAGTATACTCAGTTCATCAAAACGGTTTATTGTCAGATTTCATTGATTTTTCTTTTTGCTGAGGTTTTGAAATAAAACATCAAAACAAACGCTTGACAACAAGAATGCTATCTCTTTTTTGAAGGTGTGTTGGCTCTGAAAAGAGCCAATTGGTTTAAATAGCTTATTCAAAATCCTGTTGCTTGCCCACTGGCTTGTATCACTGCAGGAATAACTTTCATCAGGTAGTTGATGTACCTTGTGTAGGATTTTACTGTCACTTTGGTTTGCCAGAGGAGGTGTTTTTCCTCAATGAGTTTGTCCATGTTCACTGGTTTAACCTGGCATTGAAGGAAGTGTTTGAGCTTGTGCCACAGACATTCAAGATGTGAATTCCCTTGACGAGTTCATCCTTATTCACTGGTTTAACCTGGCATTGAAGGAAGTGTTTGAGCTTGTGCCACAGACATTGAGGATTTGAATTCCCTTGATGAGTTCGTCCTTGTTCACTGGTTTAACCTGGCATTGAAGGAAGTGTTTGAGCTTTAATATGCCACAGACATTGAAGATGTGAATTCCCTTGATGAGTTCGTCCTTGTTCACTGGTTTAACCTGGCATTGAGGGAAATGTTTTAGCTTATGCCACAGACATTCAAGATGTGAATTCCCTTGATGAGTTTGTCCTTGTTTACTGGTTTAACTTGGCATTGAGGGAAGTGTTTGAGCTTGTGCCACAGACATTCTATGGGGTTAAGATCTGGTGATTCTGCAGTAAAAGGAAACCAGTTGATCCCGATATGCTGCATCAATTCTTTGATTTCTCCAGCTCTACGCTTGGGATTGTGGTCCTGCTGGAAGTGGTGCTCCTGGGGAAAATGCTTCTGGTACTATCAGCTAAATTAGTAATTTGACCTATGTAAAATGATTTGTGATAGGCAACTGCAACCCAATTTCCCTTTGATAAAGCAAGCATATTTTCATTTAATGATGCTGAAACAGTTTCAGGTTTCTTTTTGTGCATGTTCTTGCCTTGTCGTCTTACCGAGCTGTTCTTGGTGTTCTTAGCTGAGGTGTCCATGGAAAATTGACTTGGCTCAGCCATGGATGAATGGACTGAGACGAGGACAGAGGAAGAGGTTTTCTTTTGTTTACTAGTTTTCTTTTGGAGTGGACGAAATACATGTACATGTACCTGGATGTTGTTTGTGAGGCACTGGGTCAGCAAATGCAATGTTGTCTTGGTCAGTAGTGACAAATGAAGGCGGTGAACTCTTCATGTAGTTTGGGACATGGTATGAAAGGGGCCCCAGCACCAGCTTGTCATCATCACTGCTGATATCCTCTCTGTCAAATTTTGTGTACAGTTCGCAGGAATCATTGCTGCGGGCAACTCCAACAGTTTCAAACTAGTCAACAGGATCCTTCAAACCACCATAGAAGGTTTTGCTCACTGTGTTTTTTCTCTTCACTTTCACAACTAGGACCTCAGCTCCTGTAACCTGCCAAAGTTTGTGTGCTTTTTTGAACACAGTCTGCTTTCTTTTTGAAAATGATGAACGAGCAGCTTTACTTCCACTTGCCAGTCGTTTCGGCAGAAAGGCTCTTCTGATAGGAGGCCGTTTGTTGGCTTTTTCTTTTGGCGCTAGGCGTGGTGAGCAGCATTGCCTGAAAAAGAAGGGGAGGGGAAATTAAGAATGAATGAATGTTTGGAAAGTTGGCTAGAATTTGAATCTACATACAAAAAACTTGCTGACATTGAAGTAGTGGTAGATTTTGTGAAGAGTACCGAGGGTTTGGAGTGGAGGGACTAAGGATTTACAATTCTAAATTCATGGCATTGTGAATATTGGTTCAAACGCCATAAGGTCAGACTTGAGTCTCAAATCAGAATACACAGGTACAGGGTATTCTGCAATTTAGCTCAAGTCTGAAGAAACATTAACAAACCAGTATGCTCATATCTTCTTGGAGATACATGTAAGAAAGAATCAATAACTAGGACTGCTGTACTTGGTGGTGACAATCCAGAGAAACTGTTTACCGATGAGAATCCATCGGTAATAGTTGGAGAATCTTCATGGGAGGATAATTCCTTTCCCTCAGCTGTGCGAAGAGTGCTCTAGTCATCCATAGTATGTGTATGGTGCGTACAGTGTATTAACTGTCAACGAAGCCGAGGAACCATAAAGCAGATGAAACTCAGAAAAAATGTTCAAAATGGTCACTGAGCCAAGAGCCTAAGTGCAAAGACTCTTACACAGGTATATAGTTTCAGCTTTGAGCCTTATATTAGCACCTACCTACAAGTTTGCTTGTACAAAAAAACCACACCTACAGTAACCCAGAGTTCTCAGAATGCCATCACTTCCTTCTCTTGTAGAAATGTTGGTGACTCACATGGGGTAGTATGCGATTGTCCTTGGGTATGAGTGTGATGGACACCTGGTATTACTTTGAGCATTTCTTCATATGTATACATGTTCACCATGAATCTAGAATCTAGACATTTTGGTAGAATTAATTTCAAAATGCTTTTACGACTGAAAACTATTCGCCATCCAAAGCCTTTACAAGTCTGCTCATTATTGCTGTGTGTACCCTGTCTTTAACCCCCAAAGTCTTCACTCCTCCAGGCAAAGGACTTTTGGGGGAATCAAAAGTTTTTGACATACATATAGATGTGTGTATATTGATATGGTGCAAGAGGAAATAATTATAAAATTTATGGTACTTTCCACTTTAAGTTCAAGCTTGTAGATGTTGTGTCTGGTACTGGTAGATTTTCGTCATCAGTAATTCTACTGAATTGATATGAATGCTCTCCGATCTTTTGAGTTTTCTATTTTTGCATTGGTACATGTACAAAGCTAAAGAACAGAGTAAAACTGTAGGCTTACATGTTCATGTGCAATGTACAAATGCATACGCTGTGCAAAATACATAAAACTGAGTGCATTTGCATGCAGCTGTTTGCAATCCAGATGCAGAAGATGTGGTATAATACAGTGTTATCGTCGCCGCTTTTCTCCGCCGCTATTTAGTTTCTTGATTTGAATAGTATGTCCCTTCCAGCTCAGTTTTGTTTCTAGGAATGTCGGGTCACATGCTTCTTTATTCTCTTAATGTATTATTCACGATTAGCTAATTTGCATGGAATTCCTGGGTCATGTCACATTATTCATCCAATGGCATTGCGGCATGCGCTTCTCGTGTGTACTGGACTCATTGGGTATATTTAGTGCGGGAACTTTCTTTTCGTGTCAGCTTTCGTCACGTCGTTGGAAGCCGTGAAGACTGTGAGTTCTGTTCATTTTTTCTTCCCATATTTTGTGCCTTGTGTTATAATATATATTCAGCTATGTGCT